GCGCAGTACCCTGCGGGGCAGCGCCTCCACGGCCGCCGGCAGCACCAGCAAATTGGGGGTTTCTTTTATTAGTTCTCAATTTCCCAACCATTAATTTCGGTAAGTGACTCCTTGTTCTTCTGACACAAAGGAGTTCTGAAGCTCTTTTCCCATGATGGCCTCGGCACCCTGGCACGCTCGCACCAGGGCCTGGCAGCTCGCCTCCCTCCCACCCCGCAGCCCCCGTCCGCAGCCCCCACCGTCCCTGTCTGCCCCCTCCCCCGCCTTGGGCGCAGCTCGGAGCCTGCCTTGTCCTGTCCTTGGAGAAACAGCCCTGCCGCGGGACCGGACCCCCCGGACCCCCATCCCCGGCGCCGCAGGATCGGTGCTCACAGCTGCACGTGGGCTCTGGGCAAGCCCAGACCCGCCCTTTGGGGTGGCCCTGGCCACGACGTGCAGCACCGGCCGCCTCTCAGCAGCCCACGGTGTGCAGGGTGGCCAGATGCAGCTGCTCGCGTGTGCTCACGTGTGCTTGCATGTGCTCACATGTGCGTGTGTGTGCAGGCACTGGCTGCCCTGGTGGCTGCGGTGGCTCAGCCCGTCGGAGGGGCCGGTGACGGGGCCCCCATCCCCGCGCTGCCACCCGTGTTTTGGTGCTGCCTCCTTCGCCTTTTGGGCCAGGAGTTTGCGGCTCTTTGATTGCAGCTCCCAGCCCCATTTCTAAACACCATAAAATCTTCAGCTAACAAATGCAGCGGCAAGTAGAAAAATGGCCTTTGCCATCCAGTGTGATTATAGGGAACAGAGCCAGGGGCCTTGGGGCGGGTTATAAATCTGATTTATTGACCCAGCCCAACAGCAGCCACAGCTCTGGCTAGTGAGTAAGTCTTAAATTTCATTGGGTGATAAATACTGAGAGCGAATCAATTTGGTAGAAAAGCTAATTAGCCAGCGTGGTTCCGCATCGATCTCCGAGCCCCACGCGGCCGGGCGTGTGCTGGGGACTCCATCACCCCACAGCCCGGGGCTGGGGCCGGGGTCTCCCCGCGCCGACTGCCTGGCTTTGCCCTCCTTTGCCGCGTCCTCCCCAGCACGTGGCTGGGGTGCGGCGTGGTGGCACGCGGTCGGGGGTGGCACTGACCCAGGTGTCTGGGGCCGTGGGGGTCCTGGGGGCCGCCTGACCCCCCGTCTACTCCACCGCAGGTGGTGAAGGTGGTCGGCAGCAACATCTCCCACAAGCTGCGGCTGGGGGGGGGGGAAGCGGGGGGGGCGGGGGGGGTGATCGACTCCAGCGACGGCAAGGCACGGCACCACAAGGTGAAGGCGTACCTGCGGGTGGAGGCAGCGGGGGGCGTGGGGCACCCCCAGGACACCCAGCTGCGGGACGCCCCGCTGCTGGACCCCGCTGTGCCAGGCTCAGCCCATGTGCATCACCACCACCACCACCACAAAGCCGGGAAGGAGCTGAAGAAGCGCTCGGCAGACACCTCCTGCGTGCTGTAGGCGGGCGGTCCTGGGGGGATGCTGGAGCCCCCCGCTGCCCCGGACTCAGCGGAGCCGGTGAGGGTCCCACGCCCCCCGCCAGAGACTGGCCCCACCGCCCTGTCTCACCCACCACCCCTTCCTCCCACTGGCCACTGCCGGCTCGGTTTCTTCCCCAGCCCTGTGGCGCAGCAGTGCCAGGGCTTGGTGTGGGAGCAGGACCGAGTCCGCGCCGGGGGGGCATCGCTGGGACCGTGCCCAGGGCACACACCCACACATGATGGTCCCCATCCCCACTGGCCCCATGCGGGTGGGTACCCCGCTGCTTGCTGCCACCTGCGGTGCCACGGGCCGTGTTGCGCCCCAGCTTTGCGTGCCCGGCGGAGGCCACCCCTGCCCGCAGGACCGTCCCTGCCCTCCCTTGTGCTTTGCAGAACCAACTGTCCATTCCCGTAGGAGTCCCAGTTTAGTTGCTCTGTTCCAGCCCCGCAGCGCGTATATAAGTTCCAGCATCCATCTTATAGACCGTGTGTATCACCTCTCCCTGCCCCTGCCTGCCCCAAAGCTGCCCCAGCACGTCAAGGCCTGAGCTCAGCGGAGGAAGGACGGCACAGCACGGCACGCTCCCAGCACGCTCCCCAGCACAGCTGTGGTGCTGCGGGCTGTGCCGTGGCATCGCCCAGCCAGGCAGCTGCCCGTGGCCCGCGTGTGCCCGGGGAGCCGTGCTGTCGGAGCTGGCCTGCTTTCACCCATTGCTCCTCCCAGCCCCTTGCATTTCACAGAGGAAGGGGGGCTCGGCCGTCAGCCCCAGCTGCCATCGCTCCATCCCTGCTGCCCATGCCAGCGCAGCT